TGAAGGCACTGAGCTGTATAATGTCTGTTGCATAATCCTAGCGCTGCTGTCTTCACTTTAATGCTAAACAAATAACAAAAGATCGCACACCTTTTCTCGACTAAATAACTTTTGTAACTTTCATAAGTGTAGCGGACCTCATCTGAATGATGACCCAAATTTTACTGATGTTTCATTAAGTTTATTGGGTCCTTTTTCACTCCAAAAAAATCACCATAAGAGCTAAACAAAACACAGCACATACAGCGAATTACACAAAACACTTATTACAACTAACAGTAAACAAATATATACAGATCTCATGCCTTTTTGGGGGGTGCTTAATAAACTGACAAACTTTAAATCCGAAGAACTGCGTGCTTTCATTACCCATATAGCTCCTGCTCCGTAGACTAGAAAACCCGTCAAAATAAGAGTAAAGGAGATCTCATACATATTTAAACTTACAAAAAATATTAAAATATATACGAAAACAAATTAGATTAATCATAATAAAGTCTGTTACAATAAAGAAGTATTACTATGCATTTAATTTATACAGTGAAGTGTTATTTTACATTTGTTTACTTTATTTCTGTACCTGAAAACTGTTAAACCTACCTAAAAAGCACTGTTTATTTAATATGTATCTTTGTTCTGTTGTATTTATGTAGGCCTGCTGAATGTTAAATGGATCCAATCCATGTTCATTAGAAATTATTTGATGATGCAGCAATAAAACTGCTAGAATAATTTAATGCAGGTGTTTTTGAACTTTGCTGATTTAAAACATGATCAAAATACTATCTATTTTGATGGCAAAATTTCAAATAAGAGAGGAAGTGACAAAAATCAGCCAATAAATGTTTGTTAAAATCGGTATCGGCCCCATAAAATCCTATCGGTGCATCCCTACTTGTAATGGAGTAATATTTGACCAGCAGTATCTGTACTTTCACTCAAGTAATGGAGTTGAGTACTTTGTCCGCCTCTGATCATTGGCAATGTTACTGTTTTAGTTATGCAAACAAAAACTCATTTTATTTGTTGTTTGTTGATTTTAAATGTAAACTTGGTGAAATTATTTGCGTGTCAGTACTTTTTGAACATTTCCAGCACATTTTAACAATACCGTGAAAATACCGATAACCGTGATCATGTTGGTCACTATAACCGTGATAAGAAATTTTCATACCGTTACATCCCTATATGCGATGCAGTACTAAACAGTCTCTCGCTGTCGGTGCTTGTAATGATTTTTGCGTCTTTTTTCGGACAGTTTAAATGCTTCCACACTGCTGACATGTTTGTTGCATTGCGCCTTTTCACTCTACGCCGGTTGCAATTTGATCGTGTCAAGTCATTGTTCAGTACAGTTTATTCGGTCTTTTCGCTTATTCGCTTGCTATTTTCGGCCGAATAATTTCGGTTGCCGAACATTCGGTGCATCCCTATTAATCACAATTGAAATAACAAAATTTTCATGCTACTGAGAGGAACAATGTGAAGTTGACCGTTTAGTCACTGGCTTGATTTACCGATGCATAAACGTCAATACATTTTTTTGTGAAAAAAACGTCTGACTTTCTTTATGACTGTATTGCTGGATCTTTTTTTTTTGCACTTTTGTGTGTTCCATTATTACTGTAGTGATGCTTCCTACTGAATATTTTGTAATCAAGATGCCTGTGATTTGTTGCAGCTCTCAAATAAATAAATTGATTCTGCACAACACACAATATTACTTCACCATGACATTGCTTGATGGACTGTTGGCAAGTTAATTTAGCATTTAGTTAGTCTAAGCATTCAGCTTGGAAAATCATTCAGTCTTGGAGTGATGGCAAGAGTAAAACCAAGAGTTTACCTTGGGGTAGGTGATGATGAAGGCCACCCAGCCGGCCAGAAGGAAAGTGCAGAAGATGATGGTGGCCATGTCCTTCAGCATGGAGTCCACTGGAGTCTCCACACGTGGGATGCGGCTGGGTTTCTCCTGCAGGGATGACACGGGTGGAGGCAGAGGACTGCTGTCTTCCATTCCACTCTCATTTACTTTCTGGAACAAAGCAGAGCACACTCTGAAATGGCAATAAAACCAAATACAAATAAACAATTTTATGGCAGATAATCAAACATTCTATAAAATGTAGCTCATAATAAAGTTTAGACAAACCTGTACAACACAACCAGTGTATAAATGATTATTTTGCTGTACTTCTGCTAAAAATTTCAAAAGGTTTTACAATATTGACATTCCTTCAGGAGTTAAACAGGATAGATTTGACAACTGATGAGTCATGTCATAATAAAGTTTAGACAAACCTGTACAACACAACCAGTGTATTTTGTATTTTGCTGTACTTCTGCTAAAAATTTCAAAAGGTTTTACAATATTGACATTCCTTCAGGAGTTAAACAGGATAGATTTGACAACTGATGAGTCATGAATTTTTTACACTCAATGCCAAGAAGGGTCAGAGTAGTATACTTAAAGTTATGGAAGACATAATAAGTACTAGAATATTACATGTTTGTTGAATTTAATCAATGGTGTACCCATTTCTGCAACCCTTCATTTAAAAAAAAAAATCTGCAATCTCAAAACTGGCTCTAACCTCAATTAGAGTGGGAATAATGGCTACATTAACAACAAAGCCATTGAGCAAATTTTTTGATTGATGATGCTATATGAAACATTACCACAGTTCCACAGCTCTGACCGATGAGACGACAGTTTTACTCGCATATGACTTGTGTAAATACATTTTGGCATTGAAATGTTGTCAAAGCAAACCAAACAAAGAAGAAAATGCAACGTTGTAACAATTTAAGTCCCTTTTTCACAAACAAAGCAAACAATCTACAGGTCTGAACATACGGCAAGTAGCTTAGAATACTTTACTAAATGGGCAAGGGACAAGATCTGAGTGACTCTGACAAGTGCCGAATAGTGATTGCTAGACGACTGGGTCACAGCATCTCCAAAATAGGAAGTCTTGTGGGGTGTCCCCAGTATACAGTGGTTACTACCTACCAAAAGTGGTCCAAAGAAGGATATTTCCGGTGTTAACCGGTGCCAGGGTCATAGGCACGCATAGCTCATTGATGCATGTGGGGAGCAAAGGCTAGCCTGACTGGTCTGATCACAAACAAATTGCTGACAAACTTAATGCTAGCCATTATAGAAAGGTGTCAAAAGACACAGTGCATCACAGTTTGCTGTGTATGGGGCTGCGTAGCCACAAACTGGTCAGAGTGCCCATGATGACCCTTACAAAGAGCCTACAATGGGAACATGAGCATTAGAACTGGAAGAAGGTTGCCTGGTCTGATTAATCACGTTTTCTTTTAGATCACATGGATGACGCGTGTGCAGAGGCGGACAAAGTACACAAGTCCATTACTTAAGTGAAAGTACAGATACTGCTGGTCAAATATTACACTATTACAAGTAAAAGTTGTAAAGACAGTTTTTGACTTAAGTAAAAGTACAGAAGTACTTGCTTTTAAAAGTACTTAAGTACCAAAAGTAAATTTCCTTACGTCAATGCACTATTTTATTATCGTTGTATGTAATACTTGCAATACCTCTGAAGCAACTTACAATACATAAAGTCACGTTTTAGAGAACAAAAAAAAATCACCCACTGATTTTCAAAGCTGCTACATAGTAACGACTTTCTACTTCGAGGATCTTGATAGAAATGTAGTGGAGTGAAAAGTACAATATTTGTCTTTCAAATGTAGTGAAGTTAAAGTCATAAGTTTCCAGAAAAAAATAATACTCAAGTAAAGTACAGATACTCAAAAAGTGTACTTAAGTACAATCCTCAAGTAAATGTACTTAGTTACTGTCCAGTTACACGCCTCTGCGCGTATGTGCTGTTTACCGGGGGATGAGATGGCAGCAGGATGCACTATGAGAACAAGGCAGGCCGGCGAAGGCAGTGTTACGCCTGGTTCACACCGCAAACTTGAGCTTCGCATCAGATTCACATCAGAGTAACTACATCGTCACTGCAGCAGCAGACACGCCAGAGTATTCACACTGGAAGCATTTGTACAGCAGCGGCTCCAAAGCTACACATTACTTTACGAAGACAGCTATAAATTTGTTTTTAGAAGTTGGTCAGTTATATACTTGAAAGTTTTAAAGTCTTAAAAGTTTGTTAACATGGGGATTCGCATGTAAAAGGTAAACAACAAAAACAGCTCCGATCATGCCGTTTCAGTCATACTTCCATATAGAACGTGCTGTTTATAAGGTTTTTTTATTGTTACGTCCAGAGCCGTAAGGTCCTGTTGTTGTGCCAAGCTATGCTTTATTCATCTCTCTCCCTTTCCCCTCCCCCCTTTTGTTTAACAAGTTTAAATGGGCAAATCTTCTATACATATTTTCAATTCTTCAATTTCTTTTCTGACATACTCCAATTCTTGTTAAAACTCACTTGACATGCTTATTCTCTAATTTTTAGCACTTTTGTGTGAAATCCAGAAATGCTCCTGCTTGATGCTCACGTGCTGCTCCTGCTCCCGGTGTGAAAGCACTCATTTGTTAACATGCATGCTAAAAAAATATGCGCTGCTCATGCGGTGCTCCAGCTTGCGGTGTGAAACCGGCCTTACGCTCTGGCCAATGTTCTACCGGGAAACCTTGGGCCCTGGTATTCATTTGGATGTTGCTTTGACAAATACCATCTACCTAAAGATTGTTGGTACACCCTTTCTTGGCAATGGTGTTCCCCGATGGCAGTGTTTTTCCAATTCATGATATCACATGTTCTTTTTAATAAAACCATAATAATAATACTCTAATAAGGTGATCTAAAAGGCTCCTTCCTCTTCTGAAACCACATTGACTTGGTGATCAGACTTCAGACATGGCGTACAAGACATACAAATTGTTAAAGCTATTATATAACGGTATGTTAACACACTGAGTTGCACTGCAGTCAGGTGTGCTGTGTAGATAATGTTTTTACCTCTTCAATAGTCTTCTCTGTGGCAGGGGGAATGACGTTGATATGCTGGCGAGGGATGCTCTCTGGAAATTTCTCCAGAATTTTATTATGAGCATCAGGCGGTGTCTCGTGGTGACCTGCAAAAGAGAAACATTACTGTTGAGCAAAATGTTCATACCTTATTAAATGTGGGGCAACGCAGTACAGCACATGATAAGTAGGTTAACACTTATGACAATTATACAATAATTAAGAATTTTATATTTTTCTACAACACCACATTTCTTTAAAACATTAAGACACATTGTGACAGTTTGTTTTGGTGTCTTAAAGCTTGGAATCGAGTGGAGACATTTTACAACTGCTATAAAATGTCTCCACTAGTGGGCAGGAGTGGCTCGATTTTGCATGATTCCCACAGTTCTGAGTGCAGGTCTTTATGAGTGTGCAGTATGCGGCACCTATCAGCAGCAGTGAATTCCTCATGAAGTTGAAGCGGTTTCTCTCTTTCAGTGCTGCACTGAACTTCACTGTGGTACTGGGAGTGATCACACACTCCTGCTCATCTTCCATGCTTGACTCCTGGTTACTGGGGCCCTCCAGCATGGGAAACGTCCTGCCACGAGGCTGAAATACACACATGCGCACACATTTGGTCATGAGCATGCAAGCATTAGAACAGCATTCCATCCTTTCTCAAACAGTACTGGGCCTTTTCAGGCCTAAAAATCTCAAAATCTGTATTTAAAAATAAAAAATAAAAAAAATAAACATTCTACTGCAGCACTGTAAATATTAGTCAGATGTGGGATACTCCTACTTTATTTCCAACTTCATTTGCGTATTTCCAACTTCAAAAATACATAAAAACATACATGTTCTTAGAAACTTACTCTTTGTATTCATGTTGGCTTCATATGGTTTTGAACACCTTTTATGCCATTACTAAAGAAAATATTTTAAATATATTATTTTAAGGTAAAAATGATTTATTATTATTAAATTATATTATAGTTATTTTATATATAAAAAAAACGTTTGACTATTATTTTGTAATCTTTTTAAGAATACATTCCTTTTAATCAGGACTTTATAGTCAAAAAATACATATAAATATTAATTTTAATACACAAAATAAAAACACTCATAGAAGAGATTGAATTTAAGTCACTGAATGTGTGAACTGCAATTTAATACCGTTACAAACCACGTGACTACTTATCTTCTTACAGGATATTATCAGGTCCCGATGACGCTTGGCATTTTTTACTCCGTTGAGTTTATACTTCTATACAGTTCTGAGTTTTGGTTTATGGAACGTGCAGGCCACCTTCTAGCGCCTGATGAATCAGGTAGTGGCGGGGCTGGAAGGATTTAGTTTTTTTTTCATTTATTTGTACAGCGCACAACAACAGTGTTTAGAGTTAGCTATAAAGCTAATTTGCATCTGCACTCCCTGGGCAGGATGATGTTACAAAATTACAATATTAAGTCACAAACAATACAATACATACAACACATACAATATCACATCATACTCCATTAAATTACAAAGTCAAGTCAATGATCACATATTTGATTTTCCTTAAGCCATACTTTAAGCGTAGTTTTAAAAATACTAAATGTTGTACACTCTCTAATATTAACAGGTATTAAATTCCATCTTTCTGCTGCTCTAACTGAAAAAGCTGATTGTCCAAAAACAGTTTTCTTAAATTTAGTTGAACAGTCACCTCTAACTGATGACCTAGTCTGCCTGATATTGTCCTTACAGAAAGTCACACATTGTTTAAGAGGTGGTGGTGCAAGATCATGAAATAGTTTACACATGTGCTCGATGATGTGATTAATTATAGTGAGATTTGGAAAGGACATTTATGTCATATACGTGCTCTTCTCACATGTTTGGTAGAGGTGAATCTGGCTAACTGTGAGTTTGCCAGAGCCACTGTAACTTATTTGGGGAATGTGATTGGGCAGGGCTAGGTGCGTCCGATATGTGCAAAGGTTGAAGCCATTGATAACTTTCCACCTCCGACTACAATTTCCACTAGACAATCATGTCATCATCCAGCTTAATTCAGCTCATATTTTCTTCTCATCAAATGACTTGACCTTGCCTGAGGTACTGACCACGGTGCTTGTATCCCAAACCCTGAGGTTATGAGTGTGACTTCAGAACATACCACAGTTAATCTAACCACATAGTTCCATAAAAGTATAAGGAAACATATGTGACCCTGGAGCACAAAACCAGTCTTAAGTCGCTTGGGTATATTTGTAGCAATAGCCAAAAATACATTGCATGGGTCAAAATTATTGATTTTTCTTTTATGCCAAAAATCATTAGGATATTAAGTAAAGATCATGTTCCATGAAGATAGTGTAAATTTCCTGCTGTAAATATATTAAAACTTCATGTTTGATTAGTAATATGCATTTCTAAGAACTTCATTTGGACAACTTTAAAGGCGATTTTCTCAATATTTAGATTTTTTTGCACCCTCAGATTCCAGATTCCAGATTGTATCTCGGCCAAATATTGTCCGATTTCCCTACATACAATGTGGACCTGTCAGAAAACCAGCAAGAAATAGCAAATTATTCATATTTGGTTTTCTAAAGTCACATACTTTGACTGATAACATCTTGCCAAGGAACTGCTAAGTTTTATACAATGGCTAATCTTTATTCATCCAGGCAATAATACTGCATACTGAAAGTCTTTTGGATGATGACAACAACACTCCCACAAAGAGATCTATAGTAATAATGTGTGGAGTTTGATCTTACCCCAGTTATTGAAATATATAAAGTGCTCTGCTCTAAACATTGTACTACAGAGAGTTTCTGCTCAAAGCTAGGGTTGGCTACATACCTTTTTTTTTTTGTCTGGTATAAATACTGATACTGCAACCTTGAGATACTAATGCCAATCCAATACCAGTAGCTTCACATTTCTTTTAAACTCTCCAGAATGTCTTGCCCCATACACTTTCATTTTAAGTGCAGGACTGTACGGACAATTTTTGCTTTTGCAAACTGAGGAATGAGTCAGAATTATCTTCTGTAGTAGAATCACATATGCTGCACATAGAGCTGATCTTGAATTAAACTTGGAAAATGAACAAAAGTCACAGCAAACATCGCTCTATAATGAAAAGTTGAGAGGAAAGTTACGCTAGAGTACTGAATCTCTTCAACAGATTACTCAGCCATTTTCATCAGGGTTTTAAAATTCTATTAATTGTGTGTCTGAATGATGAGTTCCATGCAGTCAGACCTGAGTATCTGAGCATTTAAGTGTTGAATCTGTACTGAAAATGCAGGCTACGCATCTTTGAATTTCTAGAATCAGTTCTTTCCCACACTTCATGAACACAGACAGGATGTGGCTGAGATATTGGAGATGCAACATGCAGGTTCAATTATGTATGCAGGGTCCAAAATTAGAGCTTGCTAAGTGCCATGTGTAAAATGTGGCTTCACAATGTAAATATAAGAGAAAATCAAGAGGTGGTATTCCAGCAAGAAACTGGCTAGCATGTGATTCTGGAAGTGACATGATGACCAACACTGTTAATAAGAATAATAATATTTTTAGGTAAATAAAACCTGTAAAAATTGCAGTCATTTTTCTCAATTTACTGACAAAAGACACACACACAATCAGTACTTTGTCTTGTTAGAAGGGCTCCTTACATCAGTTTATCTTTGGTTTTCTTCTCCCGAGGAAATGGATACTTCCACTGTGTAATGCGGCCCACCTCTCCTGACATGAAAGTGATATAACGCAACGTTTCCACAGCAACATTGGTGTGAGGGACTTTGCGCAGTCCCTCGCGCTGCCAGATGTAGATCGCCACCACAGGGGAGTTGTAGTTCTGAACCCACTGCAAGTCTCCGGACTCACTGTCCACTGTCACCACTAGGCCGTCACCGTTGGACACAAAGTGGGCCATATCTGTCAAACACAGGAAACAATGTTATGTGCTACGAAAGAGGATTGAAAGGGTTTTCAAATTAATAAAGATCAATGCAGCTGATGCCTCACTGTGTTTGGTGTCGTCGTCTGGAAGGGTGAAAGCATAGTCAGAATAAGTAGCGTTCCAGCGCAGCTCTCTGCTCTTGGTGTCATACATAGTGATTGTGTATTCTGAGGAACAACACATGATTCAACAGATCAGCAAAGTGTAATACTCATACTTAGAAAGATCAACAAAGGATATCTTTGATATTCAGATCATATGGGAGTCGTTTTGAGTCTTTGCATTAGACGTGTATCGACTCCAGCAGATGTGTGTCAGTATTCTGTAATACAGCTTATCGCATGAATTAATATGCACAATATTGTTACTGTGAGCCGTTAATAATTCTAGATAACATATTAGCAGCACAACTGTTTACATTTCTCTAAACTCACTGTAGCTAATTTCCACCAACAAGTCAAAATGTAGAATGTACTAATGCAACCCTTGCTAATGGGCTGTTTAACACTCCCCAGCTGACTGAGTGCAAAACCTACGATAAGATGCATAAGATGAGAATTCTTAAGACTACAGGGGTAAAAAATGTATCTTATAATGAATGTGCACTACAGAATTTAATATATATGTGCATTACAGAATTTAATATATAATGAATAATAATAATAATCCCCAGTGTGTTACAGAGGCGGTCTCAGGTTACAGGTTGTTGCCACAGAGCATGTGAAACTAAGGAAGCAAAAGCACAAGTTTGTGCCAAGTTCAAATTTCCGCATTATTATACATAAATGTGTCAGTTTTTAATAACATTTATTTTTGTTTTTGTACTCATGCAATTGTGATATATTATGCACATATGAATATTTGGAGAATTAGGATGAACATGGCATTGCTTGTGTTATGCAAGACATAACAAAAGGGTGTAGCAATATTACATTAACAAAGTTCTCTGGTACAGTCTAATCATGTTGAAAATTAATGTTTTTTTATTTATGGTTATGGGTTTGTTCATATCTCTACCTTAACAACAAGCCAATGATGCTTGGATGAACGGAACTTGAGAATGAGGGTCAAATTTATAATTACAAAAGAATGAATGAGAAAGAGTCTCTCACCAGTGTATAAGATGCCATCAGAACTGCGACAGGGAGATGCCTGGACCAGCTCAGGAATGGTGAACGGCAGTTTCTGCAACATCCCCAAATATTAAATATAATATTTGTTACTCCATCCAAAATTACACATAGCAACTTTTGGTAACACTTTAGAATAGGGAACACTTATTCACTATTAACTACGACTTTTCCCTCAATAAAATGGCTAAAATTCTAGTAATATGCATGCTAATAAGCAACTAGTTAAGAGACCCTAACATAAAGTGTTACCCAACCTTTTTCTTTTGCGTCAAAATTATATTTCTCTTTTTTAAAGCTATCACTACTAAAAATAACCCCCTTAGATTCCAGAGAATGAGGAAGTCCTTCGTTAAAAATGAAATAAAGTTATCTCTCACCGTCAAACCCTCATTATTTTTCCCTCCGAGAGAGTACAAACTGCCATCATTGGGGTCTGGGAGGAATGCAGGCCTGTAAAAATAAGAATTCAATTTGTTCAGGATTGTCATGTTGTATGAAAGGGTGTAGCAATATTACATTAACAAAGTTCTCTGGTATCTTTTTTCAATCCAAACAATTTTGCGATCTTGAAATGGGCCAGTTGCTTTTGTATGAAACAAAAAAATTAAGTGTTGCCATGGACCAAAAGGGTGTAGCAATATTACATTAACAAAGTTCTCTGGTATCTTTTTTCAATCCAATCAATTTTGCGATCTTGAAATGGGCCAGTTGCTTTTGTATGAAACAAAAAAATTAAGTGTTGCCATGGACAACATTGAATATATCTGACTACTAAATGTTGCAATTGATCAGAATCACACATTTTAGACAGCCATGTAAAAAAACGTCAAAGTCATCTTAATTATCCAACTTAATTTAAAGATTACTCCCCTATTCATAACAGTCTTCATTTATATTTTACCAATAAACATTCGATCACATGAAATGCAATACTTTGCATATTCAGCAGTCTATAAATCATATTTTTTTTGGTGGACTGATATAAATATTCATTAAGCACAACAATGAAATGTGTTTATGTTTCAATGCTTTTCAATACCGTGATAATACAGAATATCCTGATAAAAGTTTTATCAATTATCATGATTTGTAAAAAATTGATACCGTCTCATGCCTCCTCTCCAGTAACAGTATTACAGCATTCAGAATTTTGATAAGTGCTACTACTCCTAAAGTGATCTTTGGTTGCTCATATAGACACAAACAGAGATGGTTTCATCTAAAGTCAGAACCTGGGACAGGTCTTGTCCCTTACCAGTGCGGCCGAGGTAGAGCAGAGATGAAGACGGACATAACATCTCAGCATAGGATGAGGTCAGTGTCTGTTGCTTCTCACCAGTCAGCAGATCCACAACATACCACACGTCTTGCTTCTTACCTACAAACAAACATAATCAAAACCTTCATGTACTCAAGCACAGGCCAGCATACAATTATGAAAGTGCAATTCGCATTCAATTCAAAGTTTAATTCAGAATCAGCTCTTTGAGCAGCATCTGCGATTCTACTACAGAAAATAATCCTGACTCATTTCTCAGTTTGCAAAAACACTGCACTTTAAAAGGGAAGAGTACATGACAAGACATTCTGAATAGTTTAAAGGAAATGTGACGCTTGTACGTTTGTTAAAGCATTCATAGCACTTTACATGTCTTTGTATCACACAAGTCTCATGTTTACATATACAATACCTGTAATAATTTATATGTAAATGCTTATCTTTTGTGGTAATCAACAGCATATGACAAAGGCTGATAATAAAACATAAAGAATGGAGCTGATTAACTGGAGGTGAAGGGGTGGAAAAAATAGAGGGTTTGGTGACATCAGCTAGTTCAAAGTTAATTTTTCTATTTGGGAAAACTTTGCACCAATGAACTATACAATAATGGCAAGAAAAAATATAACACTAATGAACAAGAATTATTTCATAAGATGTAAAGATAGAACATTTACATATTCAGTGCAGGGGTTTTCCCAAGTGCTTCTTGTTTTCCCATTTCAATTATCATCTTAAAGACCAAAAGTTCACAGAGAACTGACGCAGCATGGATAAATGTTCTCTCCAGGATGTGTAAACACACCACATGTTTACGCTCGGAAACAAGTGTGGCTTCGAGTGAAAAGAGGTTATTTCCTGTGGGTTACACTGTGATATTCAACATATGAGATTCAGTGCAGAGAGGAACTTAAAAACTGATGTTTAAACAGTTGATAGGTCTCATTTAAAGAGATTAAGTAACGGGATTTTTCATTGTTTAACTTTCAGGCCTGTCTGCAGTCTGATTTAATCAGTGTTTGACCTTCTTCCTTTGGGTGTCATTATAGATGTAGCTGTGCCTTGCACATTTAAGAGTTTAGAAAGGGTGGTACAGACAGACATCTTCTTGTGGTGTTTGCAGTGAGATCATGAAACAATCCCACAGCGCCCACACACCATCCCAACCACTGGGAGGCCGCTAGGAACTGGCCATTTCCTCAAACATCAACCTCTGCTGCCTGACACTCTAATTATGTTGAAAAACAATGTTTATTATTTATGGTTATGGGTTTGTTTAAATCTCTAACTTATCTATAAGGCATAGTAATAGTGATGCTTGATTGAATGGAACTTTAGATGAATAATTACAAAAGAATGAATGAGAATACGTCTCTCACCCGTGTATAAGATGCCATCAGAACTGCGACAGGGAGATGCCTGGACCAGCTCAGGAATGGTGAACGGCAGTTTCTGAAACATCCCCAAATATTAGATATAATATTTGTTACTCCATCCAAAATTACACTTAGAAACTTTTTTCTTTTGGTAAAAGCACCTCAGATGTTTCGCTTCAAAATGACATTTCTCATTTCTAAAGCTAAGAAATGAGAATTATATCTATCCTTAGATTCCAGAGAATGAGGAAGTCCTTCATGAGAAATGAAAAGAAGTTATCTCTCACCGTCAAACCCTCATTATTTTTCCCTCCGAGAGAGTACAAACTGCCATCATTGGGGTCTGGGAGAAATGCAGGCCTGTAAAAATAAGAATTCAATTTGTTCAGGATTGTCATGTTGTATGACTGATGTACCTGCATTTGGTTTTTTTCACAGAAAACAAAAGAACAGCTAATATATTTGTGACAAAAGTGGTCACTATGAACTATTTGTTGTATTCCAAATAAACAAGCAAACAAAAACAGCAGCACACAGATTTTTGATCCTGCTGGGTGTTTTTATCTGTGGCTTTAGTTAGATGGTGTCATGAATAGGAAGAATCATGCTAGCTCAGCATCTTGCACAGTTCTTGTTGTTTCACTTGTCATGCACAAATGCTCAAGTATAAATAAAAGAAGGCTTACTCTGACACATGCGTCGGGACTTGCAAAACAGGATCTGCATTGGAAATGAAAAACGTGTCAGTTAAGAGTTATAAACTTTGTCACAGGGAAATGAAGGGATGAGCAAACATGAAGACAATATAAAGCAAAGAAAGTGTTGGGCGTAAAACTTGGATGTAAACTTAATGGAGATTAATATCTTTGCGTAAATGAATCCATTAGTTCTTAGTACTACTTCCAGTATCTGCTCTATTAGACCTAGATCATTAAACCTATGAAGTAACAAATAGAAGTATGAGAGTTATGCCTGATCACCTGTGTGAACATAGTTCTGCTTCAGGGAGGCATGCCTCCCTGAGGAGGCAGATGTGGCCAGAGCAATAAACTGCAATGTCTGCAATGTAAGACGCCTAAGACAGTGTTACAGGGAAACAGGAAGGACAGCCATGTGTCCCCCCAAACTAATGCCTTCCTAATGCATTGGTGGAAGAGTGGAGCAACATCTCACAGGAGGAACTGGCAAATCTGGTGCAGTCCATGAGGATGAGATGCTCTAGTACTTACAGCAGCTGGTTACCACACCAAATATAGACTGCGACTATTAGTATTAAAAGCCAAGTAATTCAGATTTACTATCCATGACAACTGATCGAGCCTGACGAGAATGACAACACACTTAACACAGACTGCACAACGCAAATCGCTGTGGGTGTGTAGTGCAACAGCCTCTAACGTCTGCCGCAGTCCTGTAGCTCCAGCATGAATGACTGGCTCAGCCTGTACATCAGGTTTCTAAGAGACACAGCAGGTGAATGAAACGCAACTTGTTGTGGCCGTGTGAATATTGAAAAGTAAAGCCAATGTGCGGCTAGTGTGACAACGATGGAAGATTCCATTCAATGCATGTTAATACAGCAGAAGTGGACGGTGCATTAAAATGTATTAAATGGAACCATCACTCATTCATGTGATGTTCTGGGAGAAAGCTTGAGAGGAAATGAGACGTGCCTGGCCTTGATGATGCACTGTTTGCATGTCAATATGTTAATGTTTTTAATATTACCCAATACCCACAACAGATATGACAGATGTTATGATGAATAACAAATCGAAATCATAACCGTTTCAGTTGGCTAATTAACACAAATGTTTTTTTGTTTTGTTTTTTCAAAAAAATGGAGAGCTCCAGCTCTAAATTCCAGTTGGATAAAAAATTGGATAAAAAACTGTGACTGAACATCAGTTGAATTCTATATTAATGCACTAATAATTTTTTTATAGAATTTAAATCAACATCAACATTTTTGGATAAAATGTGGGAAAGTGAATTTCTAAATACCTTCTTACATTCACTAGTTCATTTAAAATGTTTCTCTGGCATGACAGAATACTTTTTTAGTACAAATACATGTAGGCCTAGTCTTTAAATTAGTAAAAAAGAATTTGGAAAAAAACATGTGTAAGATAGAAATCAGAATTACATTTTTGGGTGAACTATCCATTTACTAAAGCTCATGCTGTTCATGCTTTATACGATAAACGGATTTAATTTAGGCTTTTATTCACATATAAACACTGTTCAGCATACACACATAGAGCTCATCAAATAAGGTAAAAACAGAAGCTTTACCATGCTTGCCTGATGTGTGAGACTAAAACTAATTGGTTCCCATGCATCAAGTAAGCACGTATTTGATAAGTTCTTATGTATGTATGTTGATCAATGTTTATATATGAACAAAACCCTAAATTAAACATGTTCATCAAATGAAGTGATTGTGTCTCTTCAGAAGACTTAGATTAAACTGATCGATCAATAAGAATTACTTTTACGAGGTGTCCTTGTACTTTTCGATATGTTAAAGTTATTAACCATACTAATATTGTAGGAGGACATCATGTAAAGGCAACTACAGATAGCCTATTCTTTGTTTCTAGTTAAAAAAAATAAAAAATCCAAAATTCCACATTTATATGTGTGTGTGTTTGTACTGTCATTATACTCGACAGAAAATAGGCATTTTATTTGTTTGTTTGTCAGTTGTTTACGTGTTTTACAGTTTTCATACTCTACACTTTGCCCATCCTGTTTTATGTAGGCCCACCTGCTTAAACATTTTTGGCTTCGCCCCTGGTTCAAGGATCCCGTAAGCAAATGGATTCAAACAATCAGTCCAAAACCATGCACTGCACTAATGCAGAGAAATCCAAGCTGATTACATCAGAGATGGCAGAGCGATAGTGACTCGTGTCCAGTTTTCCCCCAATTTATTATTCCAGCGTGTGTTTGGCTTTAAAACATAAATCTCTCATATTGTCTTCTATGATTGTTTCTATGGATCACAAGCCCACTTACATCATGCTTTCTGAAATACAGACTGAACGACAGATCAAAACATTCGGCTGCATGGGGACATAAACTACATTTCCCAGCTGGATAACGCAAACCTGTGTCTCTAGTAAAGTTTTGATTGATGACAATTGTAATCATATCAATTGTAAAATAAATAAATAAATAAAAAAACCTCAAACCAGAACATCTATATAGATTTTCAAACTTTTCATGCCACTCAAATACTGGCCTTAATATTTTTTTTTTCTTGGAAGTTTTTCATACAAAACAATGCTAGAGAGTTTTTTCTGTTTGAATCGGAACGTATCTTTTTCCTGTCCCTGTACTACCAGTAATGTTCAAGTGTCTGCTTTCAAAAGAGACCAGGATTCTGGTCTAGACCAAAGGTTTAAAGATATGCAGCCATTACATTTGGGATATGTCATTTTTGGCTTGTGGAAGTGAATGTTACACTACAGAAATATACAATAAGTATTGTTATTATTGAAGAACAAACAGTTCTTGAAATTTATGAAATCACAAAATGAATCTTAGTTAATTCATTTGCTTTATCGCCACTCCAAGTAGCTTTGCCATAATTACAGAAAAAATTACCAGAAGCAATATCTTTCCCCTAATAGAAGAAGAATATTCCCTTCTCCTCAGGTTAAGAGTTTGGGTGTCCTCCTGGACAGTACACTGTCATTTCAATCACATATTAATAAAATCACCCGGTCCGCCTATTTTCATCTACGTAATATTAACCGCCTTCGCCCTTCCCTTACCCCTCATACTACTGCTATTCTTGTTCACAGTCTTGTCATCGCCCGTATCGATTATTGTAATTCTCTTCTCTTTGGTCTTCCTCACAAATCCCTCTATAAGCTTCAATTGCTTCAAAACTCAGCAGCCCGTATTATCGCCAGAATCTTAATCGCCAGAGACTTAAGTCTCACCTGTTTAAGATTGCATATCTCACCTAAAGTTTAATTATCTCATCCTACTTTACTCTGTTTTGTCTTTGTATATGGCATTTCTTGTTTGTTTTCTATTGTCTTGTTCGTAAATTTATTGTGCGGTGTCCTTGAGTGTTGAGAAAGGCGCCTATAAATAAAATGTATTATTATTATTATTATTATTATATCTTAGCCTGTATGGGCCTTCGAATATTTTGTCGACTATTGAGGGCCTTTAAGTCAAAAAAGTTGAGAACCACTGATAACAATATTACACACCAGCAAACAATAGTGCTGGTATTCACTTTCACAGGCTGGGCGTCCACTGTTTTCATTGCAGTTTGCATTGTGGTGCGAGTAATTTGATACAAAACTTACTGGTCTTGAAAGAAGCGCATATACGTACCTTCTTTTAAGGTCCATTTGATTGTTCCGGATCTCTTGCTGACCGCGTAAAGGTTTCCGTCCAGTGTGGACACAAAGAGCAGACTCTCTGGTACAGACACCGTACTGCTGCTGCAAAAGCCCTGCAAACACAAAGCTTTACTGAGGAGATGCTCTCTATATTGCTCAGGCTCTGATGCAAGATTTTGAGACAAAATATTTTACACACTATTAGAGAATAACTTGCTAGTAATATTTTGAATGTTTACACAGTGCATTATTACTAGTAATAGGGGTGCTCCGATTGATCGGCTACCAATCACTATCGGCCGATAATCACGTTGGGATGTTTTATCGGCAGTCTCTAAAAAGGCCGATCTCAAAAAAACGATCTCAAGCTGATGACGCTGCCACGAGAGGTTTGGCACAACATGCAGCGGCACCGTCTCAGTCTGGCGCGGGTGGAATAATTATAATGCTGAAGGTGAGGTACTCAACTTATTTATACCATATTTCTTCATTAAATAAACGTAACTTTTCAAAAGTAATTTGAAAACCTTGTGCGAGATGTAATTTCACAAACAGCGTGAGTGAATCACCACGCGCGCTCTCTCGTTCTCTCTCAAAATACGCAAATTGCTTCAAATCACCACATCATGTCTGTCTATAAGCGAGCAGCAGGCTGCACAGTTGACACAGGAATTGTCACTTGCACAATCGAGGCAGTGTCACATCGTCACTAAAGTATATAAATTGCATTACTTTTTAATTCTTGCCAATGTTTAACCATTCAGCGCTCGCGCGCTCTCCTGGAGACCGTGCACTCATGCACACTCGCAGCGCACACACAAAACCATATTCCATAAGCCAGGTTCACATTACTCCGTTTGCAGTGCGTATGTGGTGTGTATTTTTTCCGCGCTTATGTTAACGGTTTAATAAAGCGTGCACATGTAACGGAGGCCAGCGAGTAGGTGCTGTGCAGGTAAAACCCCCTGATCTCAAGAGACGCACAAGGGACTGACTCTAGTGGCTGCAGTCTTAAGCCTCCTTGTTAGTGCGTCCACCTCCCATGCCGGAGACCCAGGTTCGAGACCCACTTGGAACAAGACCCGGGAGAGAGGGGTTACACACACTGCACACGGCTGCGGTCCGGCAGTGCGTTCAGGAGCGGTGCATCTGCAGCAGTGCAGAGATGGTTTCCGCACCGAGTCTGTTGCTGCGCTGCAAGCGCTGAATTAAAGTAACAGCGCATTGTTTGCAGTAAATATGAACATGGATTGACACGAAAATGTAGTAATTATTACACCATAAATGCATATTATTAAAGGGGTCATATGATGCTGCTAAAAAGAACATTATTTTGTGTATTTGGTGTAATGAAATGTGTTTATGCGGTTTAAAGTTAAAAAAAACATTATTTTCCACATACTGTACATTATTGTTTCTCCTCTATGCCCCACCTTTTTGAAACGCGTCGATTTTCACAAAGCTCATCGTACTGAAAAGCGAGGTGTGCTGTGATTGGCCAGCTATCCAGTGTGTTGTGATTGGCCAAATACCTCAAGCGTGAGACAGAAATGTTACGCCCCTCACATACTGTTGATGCCGTGTCCCGGCCGGAGCAACGTGACAAAAATAATGGATAAATGTTGTGTTTGTGGTAAACAGCCACGGATCAGTAGCGGACTCCTGTGTGAAAGCACAGTCTGCTGCTTCCCCCCTTACAAGAGTCACCTAAGAGGGGAATTCTCCCATTTTCAGGCCCTGAATAAAGGTCTAAAAATTATGATTGGAGTATCACTATAGATAGTTATAAATAATAAAAAGAAGGCTATAAAAAGATTGGTATCGGTGATCGGTATCGGCAGATACTGCTTTCTGTGATCGGCAATCGGCCTCAAAAATCCTGATCGGAGCACCCCTAATTAGTAACAGGTATAATGGTACCCTGACATCATGAGACAAGTGACGTGATATGTATCCAAGTATGGTGTCCCATACTCGGAATTTGTGCTCTGCATTTAACCCATCCAAGTGCACTCACACAGCAGTGATTAGTGAACACACACACACACACACACACACAGTGAACACACACCCGGAGCAATGGGCAGCCATATTGCTGTGGCGCCCAGGGAGCAGTTGGCGGTCCAGTGCCTTGCTCAAGGGTCTCACCTCAGTCGTGGTATTGAGGGAGGAAGAGAGCACTGGTCATTCGCTCCCCCCACCTACAACCCCTGCCGGTACTGAGACTTTGAACCTTCGGGTTACAAGTCCGACTCTCTAACCATTAGGCCACGACTGCCCCCAAGACAATTATCTAATGTTACTTTAAACCCAAGTTGTCTGTCTCAAACAGAAATACTTGTTGGCCAATGCAGACGATTAAAAAATTGCCAAATATCATCTGGTAATAAGCCCTGCCAATATATTGATTGACCACTACTTCTGTGTTTGAAACCCATAATAAACACTTGAAAACATATACTTCTGCTGAATGACTGATGGGAAGGAGTACAAAAACTGCTGTCTTTTTCATGAAACCCTTTAATATATTACACCTGCAGCAAGGGTACTGGAGAATATCCAGAAAGGACATCAAAAAAACTTGAGCCATTAACATGCCTAGTGTTAAACAGGCACAGGGTGGAGAGCAGTCAGTTTTGAGTTTTGGCCCATTCATCCACAGACCAACCCAGAACTGGAGCAAAAATTTGATGAAATTTTAATTAAAAATTTTAATTTGAATGAACAGCTGTTTATGGATCTATTCAGGCCAACACAAAAATGTGCATGCAGTTATCACAAATTTTTGCTTAACAGAGAGGTGTTCTAATCTTTTTTCCATTACACTGCGAAGAAAACTGGTCAGCCAATAAGGCCCGTTCACACAAGAACGATAACTATAAAGATAACTATATCAGCGTACAAACCAGCGAACGATATCATCTGTTTATTCTAAGCGCACGCTTGCCTGCCGCTTTAAATTCTTAAGCTCGTTATAAGCAGGATTGATTCTGATTGGCTGTCAAATGTTTTTATTGTTCATCAGCTGGAAAAAATCGTTCTGAAAGTGATTCCAACAATATCGTTTTCTTTGTGCCTTTATCGTTACAGCTGTGGTGTGGACTCTGCTATTCTTTAATATTGAGAACGATTTTTAGAACTATATCTTTATCGTTATCGTCCTTGATGTGAACAGGCATAACACTTTTGGTCACATATCCAGACCGCTGCTATTACGAGAATCTATATATTTTATACATTTGGCTACATATTTTGCTAAGAAACAGTGGGAAGAATCCAGAGGCAGTATTTGCTCTTGAGTCTGTACTCGTATATTTGGTGTTGTTTAACAAACACCATAGCACAGACAAAAATTATCAGCAGTTTGAAAACATTTAAATACAATTTGACTTCCTTTCTTCTCCGTAAAATGTGTCAGGAAAATTTGTGTCAGGAACAAAAAGTTGCACTGCGTCTTGACTTCCATAATCGCCACCCAATTTCATGTCTGAGAGTGATTTTGCATTTTCATTCTGCCCAGCTCGTTTATGTTTTCACGCAATAACACAACATATATGCAACTATATCATGAAAGCACTCAATAATGATATGAAATGTGGATGTTTTACATGTCTGAAACACAAAGTGAATAATCTACTTTTTATCAACTTCCTCAGTTCAGCGACGGTTGGAGGAACTGGAGCGCTGAATGACTTGGCAAAAACCAGCAACTGTTTCAGATTGTTCAGTCTGATTTGGTGAACTATTCAGACCTATTCCTAATTTACCTTTTATAGCAAACATTTTAGAGAAATCAGCACTTCTACAACTACAAACATTTTTGGATGCAAACAATATTTTTGAGACATTTCAGTTTGGTTTTAGGAAAAATCATAGCACTAAGTCAGAATGAGAATGAGCTTTATTGCCAGGTATGTTTACACATACGAGGAATTTGTTTTCGTGACAGAAGCTTCCACAGTGTAACAGAATGACAGTGACAGAACAAAAAACACAGATAATAAAAAATAAAAAATAGAACAAGTAAATAAGGAATACAAATATATAAATCGACAATTGTATGTGCAGGTATATTACAATAGACAGTTTTGTATGTACAGGTACTGTATATTATGTGCAAATTTTAGGTGTAGACTGAGTATGAGTGTTAGATAAATAAGTGTATGAGTGTATGCAGCCATCACCGTCGGCGCCATCGTTAGAATTTTCTAACCCAAAGTCTGCCTTACTAAGAGTATTAAATGACATTCTGTTGTCGATTGACTCAGGGGATTCAGTTATTCTAGTTTTATTGGACCTGAGTGCTGCATTTGATACAGTTGACCACACCATTCTTATTTCACGTCTTGAACAATGTGTTGGTATTCGAGACAAAGCCCTAAGCTGGTTTAAATCCTTCCTTTGTGATATAACTTTCTCAGTGGGCATAGGAAATGTGGTTTCTTCAGTTGCTCCTCTGACTTGTGGTGTTCCCCAAGGGTACATTGTTGCCCTAACCCGGTTTTCTTTGTATATGCTTCCACTAGGTAATATTATCAAAGGGTCATATGACGCAATTTCAATTTTTCAATTGTTACAAGCTCTTGCTGCATAAAGAAGATCTGTAAAGTTGCAAAGACTAAAGTCTCAAATCCAAAGAGATATTCTTTATAAAAGTTAAGAGTCAACCACGCCTACCTAAAACGGCTCGTTCTAACACGCCCCCACATGTCTACGTCACGATGTGGGAAGATTTGCATAACACCGCCCAAATGTTCACGCAAAGAAGGCGTAACTTTGATTCTCGCTGTAGTATTGTTGTTCTAGTGTGTTTTGTTGTGAAAGTGAAACTACTTTGTTTGGCCTTCCAAAAGAGGATGATATCCGCTTCGTCATGCCTAGAGCTGATCCGTGCTGGTCGCTGAGGAATTACATCAACTTCGCGCTGTGGATCGCCGGATCGGCTTTCACCGTGGACGAAGCGGAGTCCAGCCCGGGGTCGTCACATGTGGTTGCCGCAAGCCCGCCGGCCGCTCCTTCTTCGAATCCCCACCCGCCGCCGCTCACTCTAGCCCGCCGTGTGTGACACTGTGTGTTTTGTTGTGAAAGTGAAACTACTTTTGGCCTTCCAAAA